CTCTTGTTCTGTGTGCCCGGGGCTGCCTGTACCTCTCAGCTAACCTCTCTCTTGTTCTGTTTGCCCCCAGGCCCAACTACAAGCAGCTGAGGAGGAGAGACAGAGGCAGGAAGAGGCTGAGAGGCAGGCTGCGGCGGAGAGGAAGCGTGAGGAGAGGAGACTGCAGAGACAGGTGGGAAGGAGGGTGGCACTGGCTTACTGCCATCAGCTGCAGGTTGCACACTTGAGCTCGCACCACTGGAAGATGTGTTCGTACTGGCAGAATCCAGGTCCTTTTGGAAATGTAAAATTCCTTTGCACATCGTCATATTGAATTTTTCTAGCAAGGTTTGCATAGTTTGTGTATCTATACAAAGGATAAGCACCATGTTTCTGTTCCATTTCTTTTCGTTTCTGGCTTGTAGCAGGAGAACAGTGCAGCTGTGCGAACAGCACACACTCAATCATTACAAGTATAACTTGAATGGAAACAGGGGAGTTGGGGGGTATTACAGTATATGAAAACTTTTAAGTCACTTTTACTCTAATATGCACACACGTACGACCCATGTGTTTCCCGTTCAGAGACATAAAGACTCAGTCGTCTGCCGAGTTAACGCTATTTGCCGTTGAATGGTGGCGGTCAGTGCTGTGCCTGTGTCGCCTGTGTCCAGAGGGAGCAGGAGAGGCTGACCAGGCTGGAGAGGGAGCAGCAGCTGCAGGCCAGGGCCTCCGACCACTACCTGTGCACCTTGCTGACGCGCCGGGGCCTGGCGCCGTGGAAACGGCTGCTGGAGCAAGCCAGGAGAAACGCACAGGTGACGCGGCGAGGGCCAGGTGTCGGGTCCGGTGTAACCAGCCTTGCAGGCACCCGGCGGTTCTCTGCAACAGGTGTAGCAGGTGTCCTCTCTGCTCTTCATGCATTCCGGCACTGAAAGGCATCCGAAGGAGAAGCGCCGACTGAAGTGAACTCCCTCCTCTGTCAAGGAAGTTCGTTTTGAGCTGGAGATCGACACAGGATATTACTTTCCCCTAATGGAGGAAGAGAAATACAGTACAGTAAAGATGCTAATGAAATCTAGATTCTTTTTCTCTCCTGGTAGAAAACAGGATGAGCTGCAGATAGTGGACAGAGAATGTACAGTATATGTGATTTTCTGCGATGGCGACAGTGATTTCTTGTGACGCCTTTTCCGTGCTTCACTGCAGTACACCTCGTTGCCTAAGCCTCTGTTCCGCTCCCACCAGCTGGCCGAGACGCATCACGGCCATTCCCTCCTCCGGCGGTGCTTCAGCTCCTGGCTGCAGACGGCAGGCGAGTCCCTGGCTGAGAAGGAGGCCCGTGCTGAACAGCTCTACCGTCGCATCCTGCTCAGGCGGTGTCTGCACCACTGGCTGAAGGTGAAGACTAATACACGGACGCGCAATTCTAGTTTTTTTAACTTGTCCTTCCTCCGACACATCTGCTTCCTTGTTCCTCCGTGTGTCTTGTGGCCTGGAATTTCAAACAAGATTCCTCTGGGGGGGAAAACATGAGGAACAGAAAATGTACTCCATTCACGATGTATTTTAAAAAAAACCAACCAGTTAGGCATGCGATTTGTTTCCATGGCTGCTGTTGTTCTACAAATACTAGCAACGATAACACCATTATTACTCAGGGCATAATAACGCCCCTGTGTGGCTCATTTCCCGTGTGCGCCCTGTCGTTCGGCAGTGTAAGGATTACTGCTCCGTGCTGGAGGAGAAAGCCGGGCGGCTCTGCAGAGCCAGGCTGCAGCGGAAGACGCTCCTGGCCCTGCTGGACTACTGCACCCGGGAGAGGATGGCCCGCTGGGACAGGGAGCAGCTGGCGGAGCGGCACAGTCGCAGGTCTGTCGCGCTGTCTGGAGGTGAAGCGCGCAGGTGCGCGGCCCGTGATGCTGGCAGCAGGCTGGGGGAGGAGGAGGAGGCCGGTCACGTCCTGGCCGCATGGCTGCTCTGCAGCGGCTTAATGCTCTTGACGTCACATTTAAGAACGGACCACATTTTTTATTTATTTATAGATATGTCTGTCCACCTACCACCTACCGTACACATATAGGTATGTGTTCATGCACTGCTTCTTATGTTTCCAGCTGCTTCCAACAGTTTTTTGTTCTGGGTTTTAAATACAAAGAAAAACACATTTCTAAGCCAGGAGACAGACAGCCACAATGTCAGTGGTAAAAACATTAAAACAGGAGACATGCACTAACATACCATCAAGCTTGAACATATGTTAAGTGCTACTTCTCTATAAGTAACAAAAACTGTAACTAACAGTTCTGCAGCTTCATATTTCAAGTGGAATGTAGTCTGTACACAATGTAAATTATATTTCATTAAAGTTATACATCTTTATATTTCAGCTACTAAAACTACTAGGAAAGTGTCAGTACTACTGAAGAGAGGTTTATATGAAACCAAATGCAGGCATTTCTCGACCAAAGAGCACACTATGGTGAAAATGAGAAGAAAATGCAAGTGTAAGGCACTGAGAATGCACCCAGTGTCTTAGAGAAAATCGTAAGACTCTACAACAAAAATGTCAGAGGACATAACTACCTGATTTGAAGACAAGCATTTTTTTCCCCAAAAATTTAGCATTGCCAATTATATCTGTTACAGCCACCCAATTTGGAATCACCACATTAAGCAGTTTGTCACATCTCGGTTTGCAGCTGCAAACCACACGACCGCTCACAGGAGAGAATGAGGAAGTGTGGGCAGAATCTTCTCACCTCCTCTCCTGCAAAGCCACTTGTCTTTTATCACTGCACAGCTCCGTACTGGGGCTTCAGCATTGAGTGGAGGAGAGGTGCTGCTCTCAATGGCAACACCACTGGGAGACCACCGTGGGGCGCTCTGTCACTGGGAGCCAAGGGATCCCTGGACGACTAATCCCACCCTACGCTCGTCAGCCACTTCTCCGCAGTTGGCTGGAGAGTCCTGGTCACAACTCCTCGTGACGCGACCAGCCCATGCCTGCAGAGTTCAACCTCCATTTGAGCTCAGTGGAGCACTTCCTGGTGGAAGATGGGCTCTCAGTGGTTTAAATAAATACTGTCCTCAGATTGTTGTGAAAAGACAGGCCCAGCGGGCAGGCTTTCACCAGTGTGTCCTGCGTCCTCTTGCTGGTTCAATAGTGTAAACGCCACAGCATCAGTGCATTGCCTAAGATCTGCTGGCGATGTGTGGCTCCAGTGCTCCTATGCTGAGTATCTGCCCTGTGTTGGGAGAACAAGTACTGGATCTCAGAACTGACTCTCCATCAGCTAATTAGGTGCAGCCAGCATTCCTGCTGAAACACGCTCAACAAGGGACAGACTGTCGGTCCAGTTGAAGAAAACTTATTACAAAACAAATGTGTACAATCATGTCAACTTTTCTTCCATGTTTAGACTTCAGGGCTGTACTGCACATCAAGTCTCCCACCACAAAAAAAGAATTATACTCCAAGAATGATCCTAGATTTCTTATCACCAATACCGCTTTGTGGTAAATTCAGATATGTTAGAAACGGATATGAGCCAAAATCTGAAGCTTTCGCGTCAGCTGCTCTTCGGTCCAGACGGCCTTGGTTTTACTCCGCGGTGGCCGCGAGCGCCGCGAGACGAGAGCGAGTTGGCGGGTTGGCGGCTGGAGCCGACGTGGTCTGTTGCTCCCTCTGCAGGCGGGCGGTGGTCAGCTGTTTCCGGGCGTGGCGCGGGTTCCCCCACCTTCTGCGGGAGGAGAGGGAGAGGGAGGCACGCAGGGAGCGTCTGCGGCGCAGAGTGGCCGAGGTCCTCCCCGACTTCGGCTCCTGATCCCACGCTGGAGGGCGGCTCAACGGGATCCAGACCCCCCAGCCCTTCGGGGACCTGGGGCGAGTCCTGCATTCGGGTGCCGTGACAGGCTGCAGCAGCCGCCGAGGAGACCACGGTCTTCCTGGGACAAGAGCCGCTGGCCCCGTCCCGTGCCGCGTCACCCAGCCCTATCCCGCCACCAGGCCGTGGCAGAGCGAAGGGCTTTCAGCAAAATGAGGTTCCGAAACTGGACAGAGAGAGAGAAGAAGGCGGGCACCCGCCTGCTGGTCCAGCTGGCCTGGAAAATTCAGTGGAGCACAGCAGTGGAAAACCCCCAGAATCAAGCTGTGCTTGTGCAGTAAGTGGTCACAACAGACATTTACCATTTTTAACCAAAGCCTCGCCCACAAATCTCATTTCCGCCCGAAGTGTGCAAAGACAAGCTCGTGTCAAAATCGTCACTGGTCATTAAAAAGGAGACAATGATTCTCTGGAAAGGGCATGATCTGGAAAATCGTCTTTTCATGAAGTGAGCAAGAAGGATCTCTCACTTTTTCTTATTATACATTGTTTTTTCTTATTTGATATATTCTTATCGACTTTACAGTTTGTTCCAATTCCAATCGCTCCTTCTTTTGAATGACATCACACAGCTTTACGATTATGTCAGACAGCTATTCTGTGCGTAAAAAAAGGCTTTTCCGCCCATTAGCGAAATACTGTTCTTTTTCCCCAGTAGGCCCCATATAACAGTTTGTGTCCTGCAGTTTAAAAATTAAAAGATTTCAGAGCTGTAATACTGTATTCTTTCCTAATATCTCACCGGTGGTAGGTAGCAATGAGAGTCCTAGTCAAAAGTGCAAGACACACACCTTAGAGACATCTTGGCTGTTGGGGTTAGGTGTTGCTAGGAGACCAACACAATGATGTCAGGATTTTGCTGGATCACCTTGCCAGGGTCCCAGGTGTTGAGGCCTATGTGGTGCTATGGCCATATGGACATATCCAGCACAGTGCTTCCAGAAGCACGCTATATTTCATCTCGGCAGATTAATGGCCTCTGATGTACTTATCTCACACAGAATATCCAACAGAACTCAGGGAAATCCACTGTGGAATGAAAATGATTTTTTTTATTACAGCTGAAGACACTTTTAGAACAAGGCACTGTTTAAAAAAAGCGGTCACCATCACCACTTGTTTGAAGTAATAGCATTTATTAAGCTAGCCATCACTTACAATAGCCCTCAGTTATTTATTAGGAGTTCTTAAATATTCAAGTTTAGTTTATTGCACTTATATATTGTATTTATACAATATTATTACAGTATATTTATTAGTTACACATTTACATAGTAGCATACATAGATAAAAATACTAATTTTCTACTATAAAAGCAAAATCTATTCACACTGTGCTATTTACTATTTAGTAGATGTAAATATATAGTGGCATATAAATTGTATTTTTTCATAAGAACCGAGTGCCACTCACCAGTTACACCCTCCTCTCTTCAGGATATGTTGCAGTCCTAGAAGTAATCACTCACAGGCAAGTCACTGGGTTCAACATGTCAGATACTCTTTTCAAGTCAAAAAACACTCTCCTAAGGAATTGGTCCAGGACAATGTGACAGGAAAGTCACTGGGTTCAACATGTCAGATACTCTTTTCAAGTCAAAAAACACTCTCCTAAGGAATTGGTCCAGGACAATGTGACAGGATAATTTTTTTCTAAATATCTGATTTTTTTAAAACAGCCAGCAGACTCAATTCTATACAAACAAAACCTCACCTGTACCTCTGAGACCTATGGTTTGCTTAGTTTACACCACCAGTTATGAAATGAATCTCAGGTAAACCACAGGTATAGGCTGCTGATTAGGAGTACATTTCTGACAGCGAGTACTTGGAAAACAGTTCTCCTGCAGAACAAAATCTTATTTTTCCTGCTGCACAAGCACCGACAAGCACAGCCTGTAACAAATTAGTCTTTACCATCAGAAAAGTAAAGCAACAGTTTGAAGGTTTAGCACTTGTGTATTGAGCAGTGGTGCTGCAGCGCCCTCTAGTGGCTGTAAGTGTTGCAGTCTTTATCGCCTAACAACATCGACAAAGCCAGACCTACTGTAGCAGCCCAATGCTTTACCGATTACGCGGTGAGCACTGCATCTCCTGTTTCTAGGTTTAAGCACCAAACCCTAGAATCAAGACAAAACATTTCAAGCCATATTGGAATTCCTTTCATCTTCTGCAGCAATGATTCAACACATCCTCAGCCTAAACGCGTGCAACGTTCAAAACAAGCTTTCCTTTTCTGTCCCATTACTGTTCAGTTTTGGTGCTGTTCTTTGACAGCGCAGAAGATCCTGGGACTTCTCTCTCTCTTCTCCAGATCTTTGGCATGGTCGAAACGGTGGCCAGCAGGAAACGGCAGGTTCTGCTGCTACACCATTTGTGGTCTTGTGGGATATCTGAGGAACGGTTCCACTAGCTGGGGGGTCCGTTGTTGAGGGGCTCACTTCGACTTTCCAGAAAGCGCAGGGGCAGACCAGACACAGAATGCGTACCTCATTAGTCTGAAAACACTGTGCTTCTTTTGGCGGCTGGGCTGGGCCGGAATCCGTGTCCCGGACCTGCCCCACTCCGAAGTGAGGAAGCCATTGCCTGCTCTTCCCCACAACACCACAGTCACACGGGGCAGCCGTCCTGACTGAACGACTGCAGGAGGGGCACAAACGCGCTGGGACTCCACCAAGCCTGTCGTGCGTGATGTTTGTTACGTTTTTTTTTGCATATTGGGAACGTATAAAAAGTACTTCTGCCGTTGAAGTGCTTATTCTGGACTGCATCCCGGGCGCCGGTCCCTGTCACGGCGCTGCGAGGAGGAGTCCGCTGCTACACGAGGTCAGCCAACCCCGGGGGGGGGGTCGAGGCGCCGCCCAGGGACAGGAACTCGAGCCAGTTGTGGCGGAAGCCCCGCGAGTACGCCCCCGTGTCCACCACGAGCCCCCAGAGCAGCCGGCGCCCCGTCTTCTCGCGCAGCGCCAGCCGCGCCTCGCGCTCCGTCACGTTGTAGCTGACGTTGATGAGCTGGACCGCGAGCAGGTGCAGCGTCCCCCCCGTCACGAGGCTGCAGTACCAGGCGCAGGTGAAGCAGAGGGCAGAGCTGTCGCAGCAACACGGGGCAGCGGTCAGGAGCCGGGGCAGGATTAGGAACGGGGGCAGAATCAGGAGTCAGGGCAAGAGTCGGGGCGGGATCAGGAGTCGGGATGAAGAGCTGGGGCAGAATCAGGAGTCAGGGCAAGAGTTGGGAAAGGATCAGGAGTCGGGCGGGATCAAGAGTCGGGATGAAGAACTGGGGCGGGATCAGGAGTCGGGGTGGGATCAGGAGCCGATAGAAGAGCTGGGGCGGGATCAGGAGCCGATAGAAGAGCTGGGGCGGGATCAGGAGCCGATAGAAGAGCTGGGGCGGGAT